CCGATCTCCCCAAAACCCCAAAACCCCAAAAATCAAATCACTTTAATAAGTTATTTTATCGTCTAAATTTTGTAAAAAATAATAATAAGCTGAGAATATTCGATTGCCAATAGTTTATATTTTTTTCCACTAAAAGCTGGTTTTAACATGTAAATTTCATCAAAATAGAAGACAAGCACCTTTTCCACAACATGAGCTGTGAACGTTTTAATGATCTAATAAATTTCCTTTCATGCTGTCCTTAGTTATAATTGTAGTGTTAATATCTGAATGAACAGTATTGAAATTTGCCGTATTATTATCGAGTTTACTGTTGGGTGATTACTGAGATGATGGCTAAGCAGTTGCCTATGTAATATTAGTAGGGCTTGTTAGTGTCATCATTGAGGGGTTATTATTATGTTTATTATATATTGAAGCATCTCGACTATTACTGTTTAAATAATTAGTGTACTTCCTTTCATAGATTGATATTTTATCCTCAGATGAATGAGATTTTTAATTCAGATAATCTGAGTGAGTTATTAAACTTGATTAAGTCTCATCTAAATGAAGACCAATATTAGATAACACTAGAGAATTAACTTTACAAGTTTCATGAAAATTACACATTTGCTTGATTGTCTCAAACCATTATTAACTATTTACTTATTCTTGCGAAAGATATGTCTTGTTTTACTGAGATATCTAAAACATGCCTAAATCATTTCTATCCTTAAATATACTTTAAAGTTCTTTTAGGGGTATTCATGTGATAAAATTGCTGAAGCATTCCTTAGAAACTAATTAAATCACTAATTTATCTAACTTAAATTCGTCTAGAAGATTGTTGTAATCATCTGAATTTTATATTAGTGATTTTGAAAAGTTCATCAATCTTTGAATATTTTCTTTGTCGCTTTCAACATTCAAATCTAATTGTTTAAAATACCCTCTTAAGAATTCTTTGGCCGCATCAATAAATGCTTTATTCCCTTAAATCTTTTTTGCCTTCGGGCATTTTGTAATCAAAAGTTACAAAAGCTAAATTACTCTTGGGCCAAGTAAGAATCTCATCTAATGCTCTTGCAAAAGCATCATCAGTGTTTTGTTAAATTAACCAACTCTTTATTTTGTGATTTACTTAAATGAGTCTGTTTAAAGCAGAATCTCAGTTATAAGCTAAATTTTTAGAGCAATAGCTATCTCATCAGACCTCATAAGATCTTTGTAGATAATATTAAATATCCTGTCTTTTTTATATATTGCTTATTCTATCTAGTTCAACAGTGAAAGGTCTTTTTCTTCAACGACCTTACCCTGAGTGACAGCAATTGTTGGATCAATAATAAACTACAGTAGACATATTGAAGTTAAATAGCTCACATTGATAAAGTCATCATTATTTTGCTGTGCTATCGCGTTCATTATGTCAGGCATTAAGTTTATTATTTATAAATTCATTTTGTTGCTAGCCAAAAGCTATATTTCAATGTCATTGTCTAGATTATCTACAAAATATTAGAAATCTTTTTTTATATATCCGTCCACTATCTATTTTGGTAAGTTTTGATATTAAGAGCTAAGCTTTCTCATTATTAATAAGTCAAAGAATATAATTATGTAAAGCTTGATTCAATTTGCATATTTAACTCTATGGGGTTTTGGGGTTTTGGGGC